TTTAAAACAATAATAATAATAATAATAATAATAATAATAATAATAATAATAATAATAATAAATATTTTTTATTTTGTTCTTTAAAATTATTTTTTTATTTTTTTTGACTTTTTTTCATATAATATTTTTTTGAAGAAAAATATATTTTTATTTTTTTGGTTATTTTTATAAGTATTTTCTAAATGATTTATTCTGATTTAAATATATATGGGCGATTCAAATTTTTTTTAATTTTAAAAAAAAAAAAAAATTAAAATATTTTAAAAATAAAATAAAATATTTAGAATAAATTAGAAAATATTTAAAATAAAATTTTATATTTAAAATAAAAATAAAATTTTTAAATAATTATAATAAAAAATATTTACGCTAAAATATAAAATAAAGAAAATTTTAAATATTTAAAAAAAAAATAAACCCAAAATAATTTCAAAATATAACTCAAAACTTAAAACTCTTTTCATAACTTATAACTAGGCCTCGTTTGGGAACAGATTAATTTAGTAATTTTTTGGCTATTTGGTTAAAATACGAGCTAAAAAAAACTAGTATGTTTGGAATGACTTTTTAGCTTTTTACGAAAAGATATGCAAAAAGTAGAGAGAAAAGTGAATTTTTAACTTTTTGGTATTAGTTGTTGGCTTTTTGACTTTTTAACTAAATGGGTTAATTCCCAAACAAGGCCTAAGTTTTTACTTTTCAAAACTCATTTCAAAAACTCATATTTCAAAACACAATTTCACACTCAAATTATGATTCTAAAATTAAACCAAATAGAGAATTTTTATTTTTATGTTATTTTGATCCATTAAAATGAGATGTGGAATAATACAATTATTCTATCATAATATCTATTGTAACGTTTGATTCACTAAAAAATTAATAAAAAAATATGTTACAAATAGAATTATCATTTATTATTGTGAGAAATAATCATTCTATATGGACGGGAAACGGAATGACTATTACATTCCATTCAATTTCATTTAAGTTGAAATTGGTCAAATTTTAGATTTAATTAGCAACGTTAGAAGAAAAAAGAATTTGAATAAATTAATAATATTTTCCATCAAAAATGTCCAAAATCTTTCACAATAATTACGATTTATGTATATCTCAATAACTATGATTTATATCATAACTATGATTTATATCAATTACAATACAATATTTTTCGAATTAGGTTTATCATCTAATATTTTAAGTGATTTCCTTGCAAAAAAACTAGTAATTTTAATTTTTATATGCAAGAAAATTTTGCAAAGCTGAAAAAATAAAAAATAAAAAAAATTGTACATACCTACTATTTTACCACTAATTTTTTTATTATTATTTTTAAATATGTATGAAAATCTCATTTTTTTTATTTGCCTAAAAGAGTCAATGCCGACTCTCCATTGTCAGCCAAAAAAAAAAATCACAAAAAATTCAAAATACTGTATAATAAAAATTCTATTTATAAATAAAATTTATACAAAAAAATTCACAAAAATGATGTGTAATACCATTATTATAAATAAATACATCATTATACCAATTTATACAAAAAAATTCACAAAAATGATGTGTAATACCATTATTATGAATAAATACATCTTTAATAATTTTTTGTTTTGAGGTGAATGGTCACTTTTTTTTATATAAAAATTATGTATAAATGTTTTATTTGAATAGTATATTACTTTTGTGTAAAAACATGTGAATATTTTTTGAAAAGGGTAAATTATAACTTAACAACCCCCTGTGGTTTACCTAAAAAACACGGAATTCCCTTATAGTTTCATTTATAACACTTAAACTCTTTATACTTCATACCAAAGTGCAAATTTAGATGGACGTAGCAAAAATTGTAAAAAGTCTAAATTACCTTTATTTATTTCTCTAATTTTCTTCTTAATGTCATTACAAGCCAGAATATTCTCTGATTTTTCTTTAAATTTTTTATATTCCTCTTCTTCTTTTTCTTTCTCATCCCATGACAAACCACACACCTCTTATACCATCATTAAATACATATCTCTCTGTAGAATTTAGACCCAAACAAATACTCATCTCTTTCTCTCTATCATTTAAATTATACATGTATGATATACATATTAACTGATATATATATAATATATTTGATATAAGATACACATATATGATATATATAAAACATAAAAGGATACATATGAAAGAATTTGATGGGTAGTTTCAATTATACATATATGATATATATACATACATATTAACTGATATATATATATATATATATAGTACATATTTTAACAGTTATCTTGTATAAGGAAAAGTGATTTTGTATTACTTTGTATCTCTCTTTCTCTCTCTCTCTCTCTATATATATATATATATTCTCTCTCACTATGACCACCATCATCACCGCCATTGGCCAGCTCTGTCAAAACCAAGAACCACCCTTTACAAAGTACTATAGATGAAGCAACAGAAGAGAGTGGATGATGAAAAAGAAAGAAATAGATTTAAAGTTGTTTCTTTTAAATGTGTGAAATTAGTTTTCGGACAACTTTCGGTATGCCAAAACTACCCATTTTAAGAAAAAGTGAGAAAACGAGGTAGCATAGGATAAAGTACAAAGCAAGATGAGGAGATTGGTGAAAGAACGGGATAAAATAGTCATGAATTGATAAAATTATGGAGTCCGAAAAATGGGCTAAAGAAATGTCGGAAATGAGAAGAAAAAGTGGGTTTGGTTGGTATGAATCCCATCAATGTTATTTCAAAAATCTAAATGTTTACGCATATTAATTGTTTGATTTCATGGGTTGGGTTTGTTACTAATTTGAATTATAAGAAGAAAAGTGGGTTTGGATAATTTTTAGAGAGAAAAGTTGTGGTTATTTTAAGTACTGGTTTTGTATGGAGTAAGAAGTTGGTTGTGGATAATTTTTAGAGAGAGAAGTTGTGGTGGTGATTTTAAGTGGTCGTTTTGCCTGGAATAAAAAGTTGGTTGTGGTTTTGCATGGAATATGATGGTGGTGATGTTGGTTGGTTGTGGTTTTGCATGGTATATGATGGTGGTGATGTTGGTTGGTTTGATTTTGCATGGAAGGTGATGGTGGTGAGATGAGAGGAGAAATAAAAAGTGATGGTGGTAGTTTTGCATAGAAGGTGATGGTGTTGCATATTTATATAATGAAAGAAAGAGAACTTGTGTGATGGTCCAAGAGTCTAAGACATGCTCTGTTACACTACACCATTCTGTGTATATATATGGCAATAAGGGTGTTTTGGTCGTTTGCCATATGTTTTTGGACAAAAAAAACTGCTTTACTCACCATTCATGGTCGTGCAACACATATTCTGTTTAAACAAACAGTTCCGTCGAAAATTGCCCTTTGATATGAAATATAGAAGATTTAAGTATTACAAATGAAATTATAAAGAATCTTGGTATTTTTTAAATAAATCACACGAGATTAAATTATAATTCACCCTTCTGAAAATTTATGCGGTTGTATTTATTTTCTTCATTTCTACATTAGTGTTGTTTCAAGCAAAATTATAAATGCAAACATTTATAACGGATCAATGATTTCCGTTATCTAAATTTTCAGTTAATCTTTTCCCTTCCAAAAAAGCGCGTAGGCACCAAGTAATTTGACCCCGTGTTGTGAAAATTTAAGGATAAATAATAATAAATTATTATCCATTTGTACTTTATCTTCTTAAATTTTAAAATGTAACTGTTAATCACTTTGAATTATTATCTTATTATACTCAAGGCTTCATTTGGGAATATATTTTTTTTTAGTAACAATTTGATTTTTTTGTTAAGATATGATGTAAAAAAACAAGTATATTTAGGATGATTCTTTAGTTTTTTACGAAAAGATGTACAAAAAGTAAAAAGAAAATAGAATCTTTGACTTTTTAGTATATGTTGTTGGCTTTTTAATTTTTTTAGTGACTTTTTAACTTTTTGGCTAAAATCACCACTTACCAAACGAGTGTCTCCAATAGTTTGTCATTGGAATTGGCATTGTTATTATATAGCAATGATGGTACTGCAATAGTGAATATGACAACTGTCAAATTTAACAAATACCAAAGTTCGTGCCAAATTTGACACAAAGGTTTGCCAGCTGCTATATTTACCAACTCAACCAAAACTAACCATTTTCCTCCCTCCTTCCTTTCCTCTCTCCTAACAAAACAGATAATTTTTTGCAAAACCACCATTTTGGTAGAACTAAACACAGAAACTGATGTGTTCGAGACGACGTAGTGTTTGGTTCTATCAAAATGATATTTGTCATTAGAGATGCTCTTAAATCCATTTGTTAGGATCCTATTTCAGGATTTAAATAGAATTAGATTATATATGAATCACAGACTTATAGTTTTTTTATAATAATGATATCTGTTATTTATTTTTTAAAATAATAATACACCATTATCTGGTGAACCCCTTTATACCTATGTTAGTGACAAAGTACAAAAGAATCACTAAATAAGGGTATTTATTATCCAAAAAATTTTTTAAAATGTGTCATTTGATTTTGTATAAATTTCTAATAGAATTTTAAACTAGTCCGAAAACATAATTATCAAAAAAAAAAATGTGACAATATAATACTTTGAGTCGATTAATTATTGAGTTTTGAAATTTAGGTGGTTAAATACAAATAAATCGCATTTGAGAGAAATTTACAGTAATTTATTCAAATTTTAACAAATATTTTTGAAATTCAAGTACAAAATGAATTTAAATTACACATTAATATTTTTGGATAAAATTTTTAAGTACATATTCTAAATTTATAACATTGCTATTTTCGTTTATACAGGCAATGGATTGTTTTTGGAAAGTAAGCTAAAAATTAATTTTTTAATTTTTTTTTAGGTTTTTTTTTTAAAAAAAGAAAAAAACATTTAAAAAAATTAAAAAAAAATGATATGATCTAAAAAAAAAAATTAAAAAAAAACCAAAAAAATTACTTTTAATCTGTTTGTTAAAAAAAAAGAAAGAAAAAGATTAATGTTCCCAAAAAGCAACCTTCGATTTTATGAAAGTCAAACCACATCAAGTCCATGTAAATTCATCAAACATACAATTTTATTAGTTAAACAAACGAAGACGAACCACTTTGAATTCGATCGATTCAATTCCAAATCAAACAGTGCTCTCAATGGATGCACTGTACCCACTCTGATCATCCCAATACTTGGACCAAAGCATGACACCCCCATACTTACTTGACTTCTTTATCTCCGGCAATATCTGACCCTTCAACACCTCCGGCGGAATAAACCCACTTCCGGCGGCCTGAGTCGCCGCCGGCAAACCCAAAAACACCTTCCCATCACCCTCGATCGATCTTATCCAAACCTTCCACGAATCAATTAAATCATCAATCTTCCCTGAACTGTACTGGCATGGTGGGTTATTATAAAATTGTACCCAAACATAATCAAATAGACCCGTATTAAGGGCACCCCCTAAAAACGCATCAGGAAACGGACATTGGGGTGCCCCTGATACGTACACCTTCCTTCCAAACTCGCTATAAGCAGATAAATAGCGAGCCAGATCGTCCCAGTACGTTGTGGAGCCGAGCTCGATGTCGAAATCGATACCGTTCAAGACAGCATTGCCGAGAGGGCGAGACGATGAGGAGCCGCCTAGGTAGTTGTTCCAGAGGTATTCGGAGACGTTTTTGGCGTCGGATTGGGAAGAGAGAGAGTAGGTGCCGACGCCGCCGCCGATGGAGAGCATGACTTTGATGCCGAGGTTTTGGCAGTGAAGAATGTCGGAGGTGAGGAAGGTGCAGGTGTTGGCGGCGGGGTTGCAGTGGCCGGCCAGGTTGAGGACTGGGGTTTGGGAGTTGCCGAAGATGTAGAGGAAGGCTATGTTCACGTACGAAAATCTTTTGGTGTCGCAGGTTTCGGATAGGGTTCCTTCGTTGCCGTTTTGGCCCCAGTAGATGGCGATGCCGCCGCCCGTGGAGGTTTGGATTTCAGATAGGAGGAATAGGAGGAGGAGGGAGAAGATGAGAGCAGTGGGTTGAGGCTTTGTTGCCATTTTTGATAGTGAATCAATAACTACTGTTGGTTTTCCTCTACTTTTTATAGAGGAGTCTTAAGTGAAGTTTGGCGAGCCTAAAAGAAGTCAAAAAATTAAAAAATTATTATTATTTATTAAAAATTAAAAATTACGGTTGTATAATTTTTAATCTTAATTTTTTCTTACAAATTAATTTATATAATTTTTTAATACATATTTTTTCATAAAAAGTCAAAAAGTTAACCCAATCATTCATATTTTTTTCCTCAACTTTTTAGTTCAATAAGACAAAAAGTACACTTATTTAGGACACCTCAAACAACTCTTTATTCTTCTTCTTATGGGGTGTTTGACAAAGGTTTTTTTTTTTTTTGATTTTTTGGACTAAAATCTACCAAATGACAAAATAGACTAAAATAGTTAATAAGATAAAATACCATATCAAACTTATAATCATTTTATTTTTTTTCTTACAAACATTACATATAACTATAAAAAAATTCAACTATCTTCCTAAACACAAAAGTTTTAACTTATTAAAATAGTCAAAAACTAAAATTGCCTACTAAGAGCATCTCCAACCGTGAATCACTAAAATAGTTAATAAGATAAAATACCATATCAAACTTATAATCATTTTATTTTTTTTCTTACAAACATTACATATAACTATAAAAAAATTCAACTATCTTCCTAAACACAAAAGTTTTAACTTATTAAAATAGTCAAAAACTAAAATTGCCTACTAAAATAACAACTTTTCAAACATGTAATTAGGACTTGTTTGGTACGCAAGTTTTTAATTTAAAAATTAAAAAGTTACTAAAAGAATTAAAAAGCTTATAATTTATACTAAAAATTTAAAGATTTTATTTTCTTTTTACTTTTTACATATCTTTTCGTAAAAATTAAAAAGTCATTTCAAACATATTAATTTTTTTACCTCATATTTTGGTCAAAAAATTAAAAAGTTACTAAAATAACATATTTCCAAACGAGGCCTTAATCGGAAAAAAATCTATTCATATAAAAGATTAAAAAAAATAATTATAAAAATTATATAATTAGACCATTTGATTTAGTTTTTAAAAGAAGTTTTGAGTTGTATTTGAATGTTAAGTTGTTAAAAAGAGTTTTGAAAACTAAAAAATTGTTTGGTTAAAAATTTTGAAAATAATTTTGGGATGATTTGTAATTTATTTTTATTTATTTATTTTGTATTTGAATAAATGAATATAAGAGAAATTTTGATTGATTAATGTGTAGAATGTGAGAGAAGAGAGAGAAAAATTATTGATTTATTAATAAATAAATAAGAGAAAAAAAAATAATTCAAAAGAAAAAATTTAAAATTTATTAACTAAACATATTTTTAAAATTTTTAATCTAAATATTAATTTAAAAAATAAACCAAACATCATCATATATTCGCATTTGATGTCGTCAAAGGTCTACGAGGGTGAAAGAGAAGTCGAGAGTAGAGTAGTGATAGGGATATAACTCTAAAATTAATATAATAATAAAAAAAGGGACGGTTACTAATAAGAGTCATACATACAAAATTTAAAATCTATTTAATTTCAAAACAAAATGTTTGTACTAATTAATCTTACATATTTTTAATTATTATTAAAAAAAAATTTATTTTTATTTTTAATAACTTTAAAAATACTGCTACATTTAAATACTTTTGTCAAACTCACCAAAGACTCACTGGAATATGCAACATCACCGGAAAGTCGTCGGAGCATCACTAGAAATTTGCCGGAGTGTTTTGAGTATCGCCGGAAGTTTACCGGAGTGCTCTGAACGTCATTAAAAAATCACTACGTCAAAATTGAGCTTTAGCGGCGATTTTTTACCGTCGTTAAAGGCTGTAAAACTGCCGTTAAATCCTTTAACGACGGTATTAACGGCGGTTTCGTTACCGCCGTTTATGCGTGTGTCGGAAAAAGTGAAACCGTCGTAAAAAGGCAAATTACCGTCGTTAAAAGTCGACAAAAAACGGCGGTAATATAGGACCAAAAACGGCAGTTTTTTACCGCCGTAAATAGGTTTAAATTTTTCAAAAAATAATTCTTTCTTCTTGCACTCCCCAAGTTTTGAACCCAAGACCTCTCATCCACCAACACCAACCACTCTGCCATAGCCACTCTTCATGAAGTATATTCCCTAAATAAATATTAAAACATTGCTTTTACTTTATTGTAGATGGTTTCGCCGGAGCTCGCCGGAGTTTCACCGGAGCACGCCGGAGTTTCGCCGGAGCTCCGCCGACAAAGACCGCCGTCATTAACGGCGGTAATGATTGGGCATTAGCGGCGGTTTTGTTACCGCCGTTAAAAGTGGGCATTAACGGCGGTTTCGTTACCGCCGTTAAAAGTGGGTTTCATTACCGTCGTTAAAGACACTTTTAGTGGCGGTTTTTTAACGGCGGTAACGAAACCGCCATTAATGATACATTAACGGCGGTATTAACGGCGGTTTTCGTTACCGCCGTTAATAGTACCTTTAACGGCGGTTTTTGTTACCGCCATTAAAAAAATCGCCGTTAATGCCCTGTTTTGGCGTAGTGAATGTCAAGTACATTATCGGAGACTCACCAAAATATTCACAATATTGCCGAGAAAAAAATAATAAATAGAGAAATTATAATTAAAAAACATAACAACAACAAATAACAATGGGAAAAAGTATATATTATTTTTTAATTTTTGTAGAGTTTAAGCAAATAATCTGTAATATTGATCAAACTGAAAAGTAAGATTTGAAACTGTCATTATTCTATTAGGCTGGAAAACATATTATGAAATTGTAAAATTTTACAGTTCTAAAGAATGTTATGAACTACAAAATTTTACAGTTTTAAAGCATGATTCATTTCAGCATCAAAAAAGCTGAAACTGTAAAATTTTACAGTTTTCATCGCCTGTAACTAAAACTTAAAAACAACTTAGTCAGAACTTGAAATTTTTCTCCATTAAAACAGAAAAATAGACGTGTGTAACAGAGAAAATGTAGAAAAATTGAGAAATCGAAGGAAAAAATAGATATAGAAAGAAAATTGTACTTTGGCAACTATTTTTGATTTAGATCTAGTCGGATTTCATGTAGATCTACTCAAATGATGTAGATCTTATCTTTTTTGCCGTCGATGAGGATGAAGCCACGAGTTGATATCGGTGGTTGGTGGTTGTCGGTGAACCTCAATCAATGATGGTCGTCAGTCACTGGTGACTATATGTTAGTGTAAAACAAAGTATAAATGCAGCGGATGCAAAATTATGGTCATACATTTTTCTGCAGAGTCTGAATTGAAAGATCTCGTGGGTAAATCACGTGCTTCCTGAATCTGATCAATCAACCCAGCAATGGAGTGATATTACAGAATGAATATCACCCACACAAATCACACTGCAAAATGGCGCTTTGATTGTTGTTTTTCGGAAAGAGTCAGTATATGGGAAAAACATACGACATACGTTGTTTTTCTCTTAATTATCCATATCCCATATCATATCAGATATATAGGATAATATCTCATCTATCCATATCAGTTAATATGATAGATATGGATATCCTGAGTGGTTATGCAAGTAAGTTTTGAATTTGAATTCAAACTTACATGGATAAGGTTCAAAAACTTCAAAGGGTCATGCCACATGGGCGCCCAATTTCTTACATCTCCCACTCGCACATGAGTTAGCATGACACAGCCACATCTCTATCTCAGTCTCCCCAAAAAAGAACAATCTCATACTAGCCAATGCACCGTGCGACTGCTGAAAACACCTGCATGTGGGAGCTCTATACTAGAAACTCAAAATGAACCAGCATAGAGACATCAACCCAAAAAGAACAGAAATAGTATCTCATATACCCTAGACCCATCTAATTATACCGGTCCAAAAAAACATCTCTAATCCCTCAAAAAGAGCATGTTTGACCCTCTCAATTCTTGCAATATATTCACACTCAATCCGCCTCTCACACAAAGCGATGTAAGTTGTCGGCAGTGAATATACAACAGTAGTGTAATACTAGATGATCTTCCCTTTGCCCTCATGCCATTTAGTTTAGGATTGACCGCTTTCCCAGTGATGTCCCATAAGGCCGAATCATACATGACCGCAAGCAACATACCAAAGTAGCAGAACATCAACCCCTTACCTTATGACGTATTCAAAAGTTATAAAAGGGTTCATAAATGAAAGTCATATCAATAATGACACGTAAGACTCACACGGTGAGGAAACAGGGATCCATTCTCTCACCTCATTACTCAGTCGCCAAGCACATATAGTATGAATACATGTTACGGTGGAGTAACTCTTCCAAAAGAGTGACGTCATCCTTGATACACCGTACAGATATTAGTCTAGTCACTTTCTAGCGCCTAACCCGAATTCTCTAGTTGCTCGCCTTCTAGGCGCCAAATGAGATCTCGCATCTGGCTAATCACAACAGGCACAACATGGAAAGTCGGTACTAACATCCATGTTTGGTCCTTAACACGACCTCATCTTGGTTGTAACCAAGGCGACATGCATAGTGGATTATTTAAGCCTCTCTTGACTCCAAATAAAAATAAACCACTAGTCTCATCCTTGCTCGCTCCTAAGCGCCAAGGGCGATTGCTCGTATGAGTGAGCCAATCTTGCCTGCTGACATCATCATCTGCTAATCATTATGACACAAACTATAATAGTGTCAACATCCCATCATCTCAAAATAAGTGATCGATTTTAAAAAAAATTGACCACAGCTTGCGCAATTCTAGATTCCAAACATAAGCCTTATCAGCACCTCTTGCAATAAGTATGTACAACGGAATCCACCATGTGCGCCTCACATGAAGTGATTCAAGATCACAATTCTAGATTCCAAACACAAGCCTTATCAGCACCTCTTGCGATAAGTATATACAACAGAATCCACCATGTGCGCCTCACATGAAGTGATTCAAGATCACAATTCTAGATTCCAAACATAAGCCTTATCAGCACCTCTTGCGATAAGTATATACAACGGAATCCACCACGTGCGCC